GTGCATGGTCTTAGGGAATCACCATGGTTGGGTGAATAGTGTGAGCCAAGATGGAAACTCCTATATGGCACCAACCTGCTGGCTCTGTAGGGGCATGTCTCATCAAAGGTACAATGGCCTCTGCCAGCACTTTGCCTCACAGTGGGATCTCTGGCCTTGATGCCAGACAATTCAGTTCTGCCTCATATATTCTTGGTGCCTTTCAAACCACTGCTCCAGCACTAGAGCTCATAGGAAGTATGTCCAAATAAGTGTTTGTAGGCCCTTTAGGAAGAACTGCCTAGGACTCCAAGGGCACTCCATCTCAATTGGCCTCAATTTCTGCTGTTTTTTACTTCCAGAAGTTATGGGGACGTTTTACCCCAGCACTAAAATCCGAGACTTGGGAGCCTTGTGTGGGGGCTAGGACCCCTCATTCTTCAGGGGCCTCTCTCCTGATTTTTATCTGCTACATATGAGCATGGGTTCACCTGTTTTTCATCTCTGATCCTCCTGTCATCTCATTGTGGCTTCTTCTTCAATTCTTTAGTTGTAGGACTTCCATTTAGATAGATTTCAGGTGGTTTGTGATGATAGTTGTTCTGTAGTTTAGTTGTAATTTTGATGTGGTTGTGGGAAGGTATGAATACCATATTTACCTATGCTACCATCTTGACCAGAAATCTAAGTTTCGCACTGAAAAATTATTACCATGTTATGGCAGTGATGAAGTTTACAAAAAGTGGGTCAAAAAAATAAGACTAATTTGCTGAATAAATGACTGTGACCATTAAAATGCATTAGATCAGTTTCTCTTTTTTTTAAAAAAGGATATACATTAGATCATAAAATAATAGAATGGAATTTTTCAAATTGTTTACCATAAAATAGATCATGAAATCAATGAAAAGGAGCAGATTGTGCATTTTTAAATAAAGAAGGAAAAATAGCATTGCAAACATCAAAAATATTACATATTGCACATAAAAGGGATAGTAATAACTTGTGAAATATTTGTTGCAATTTTATGCACTCAGTCACAATAGAAAACATATTTCTATGGCAGATACTTTTGAAAAAGTAGAAAAGCCAGAAATTTGCAGAAAGATTACTGAATTGAGTGAAGAGATCTGGGGCTCATCTTCTAAATATCACATGCTCCTGGGCAAATAGCAGGAACTGTGAAGCAGTTGAACTCTGAGGAACTTTCCAGCTCATGATTAGAATAAACTTATTGGTTGGCTTAGGAAATGAAGGCTAATACCTGAGGATATATTCAGTTCTATGAAGTGGCCATTTTTATGTGTCAAAAAACTTCAGAAATTTATATTTCTTTGCTAGGTCAAAATAGTAAGGTCAGAAGAGGAAATAATATAGTGAATATCTGTAGTTAAAATATACAGGTTGAGAAAATTAAATGAAAAAAAACAACTATGAGGGAAGGACAATCTCCTGACCACTGGTAAATAATAAAACCAAACAAAAACTAACAAACACAAAAAATGAAGAGCTTCTGCAGATAAGTGGTTGTGGTCTAATTTATATGTGGTTTTTATGAATCATAGTTACAAAAAATATATTAGTAGAAATATAAAATACTATCAGCATAAACTATTCTACTGATGCTATAAAATTGCTCTTGTTTTTCAACTTTTTAAATTACAAAACAGATTACAGGTTTTTTAAAAAATTATTTATTTATTTTTAGAGAGGGAAGGGAGGGAGATAGAGAGAGAGAGAGAAACATCAATGTGCGGTTGCTGGGGGCCTGCAACCCAGGCATGTACCCTGACTGGGAATCGAACCTGCGACACTTTAGTTTGCAGCCTGTGCTCGATCCACTGAGCTATGCCAGCCAGGGTACAGGGTTTTTTTTTACTATTTTTTCTATAGTTGTAATTTTAACCTACTTTTATGTATGAATGATGGTTGAGGTAGTACATGAGACCTTATAAAACTTTTTTTAAAAGATTTTATTTATTTATTTTTAGAGAGGGAAGGTGGGGAGAAAGAGATAGAGAAACATCAATGGTCGGTTGCTGGGGGCCGTGGCCTGCAACCCAGGCATGTGCCCTGACTTGGAATCGAACCTGTGATGATTTGGTTCACAGCCCACGCTCAATCCACTGAGCTATACCAGCCAGGGCTTAATAATAAAACTTTTTAAATATTAGTCTAAGCAAGAGAAATTAAACCTGCCATGGCATCTTCTTTTTTGTTATGTTTTAATGCTTTATAGTGGATGTGAACTCCTAAAATGACAATAGACTGCATTTTAAATAGTTTTTCATGGCCACACTTCTACTACAATGTATGCATTTTTATTATTTGCTTTAAATCTACATGCATTAAATCTCCTAAAAATTTTTAAGTTCTTCAAAGAAAACTATTTTGTAAAAAATGGGAAGTTAGTATAAACATTAATTTGTTATGTGTCCCTGTGCATGTGTTGGTGTTACTGTCGTATGTGATGTTTTGAATGCCTAGCTGCGTGAAATTGTCTTGGGAGAAAGGCTTACATCTTATTAATGAGTTTGGAAAACCTAAAATATATTCAGGAGAAACTTTATATGTATTTTTATTTTATTATTATGTTTTTAGGTTTTAAGTGACCTTTATTTTTGCTTCATTATATTGAAAAATTTGAAAATATGCAAGCCATATTTTAAAACTAGGAAAAACACAATAAATCATTCTTTCTACTTTCATTTCTTTCATGTACAAGACTTCAAGTAAAGGAACTCTTCCTTTATTATATCACACCCATAGTCTTGTTGATTCTTGTGATTCAGCTCCAGTGGAAGTTAGTATCCTTGGCTCCCCACAGCACAATACAGAGTTTCCATTAATGGGTTCACCACCTTCTTGCTGCCCTGTTCACCCCTTCACCTGCTACAGAAGGATTCCTATCAGCTTGTTTGCAGAGCAAAGGGGACTTGAGAAGCTATTGAATTTCTTTCTCTCCTTGGAGAGCTCTGTGCATGGCTTCTCTTGGCATTCCCAATCCTGTGCTAGAACAGGTCCTTGGATGCTCTGTATTACCTTATTTGACTTGCCTAAGCTTCTATTGAATTTCTTATTGATGTTTTCAGTCATATAGTCCTAATTTTGAGAAAACCAATTAATATAAGTTTGAGCATGTGAAACTTTATATATTAAAGTGGCTTTAAAGTAGAGTGATCATTTAAAAATTTTAAAATTGTATCATGTAGAAACGGAAGGAAGACTCATTGTGTGGTCTCTACCACCATTTTGAGGATTTATTTTTACATATAAGCAAACAGTGCTTTAAACTTGAAAGTTAGCTAGTGTTATATTTTTTCATTTTAGTCTTTCTGTCCAACTTTTTCTTCTCATGAGAAGAAATAAAACAAAATTATGGCTCAAAGGCTCCCTACCTGTTAGAGTTTTAATTCAGAAGTTCACTACACTTTTCAAATACATGTACCTTCTTGATTTAGTGACAAAAGTACTCTCTTTTTTCCTGGCCTTCTCACCATCAGATAAGTCACTGTGAGATAAATGGGACCAAAAGCTATTTTAGCCTTAGACAATTGACAAAGCCTTTTTACAGTTGTGCAAGACACTGAATAGTTTGGTGTATTTCAGTAGAAGAAGGCTTATCCAGTGCCTAATAAACATTTTCAACTGCTGGTAGAAAAATGCAGATAGACTTAATTTGTTAAAGTTAAGGAAATTGTCATCTAACATGAACTTCCAATCAGGCATATGCAAGCACATTTGTTTCTTAAAATATATGTTTCCACTTCTGATCACTTAATAAGTATATACAGGGTCTGGCACAAATAGTGTCCCTTTTTATCACAAAATCTTTTATTAAAAATCACAAGCATGTAATTCTGTAATGTAACAATATCACACTCAAAAAACCCATATGATATTTTAGGTGAAATATTCAAATTAAAACTATAAATTATTACACTCATATTATTACCCTACCAACCAACAAACCACACTCAAGCAGGCATTACTTCTGCTGGACCCTGTATATATTAAGTTCAAGATATTTTATTAAGATCATGTAAACTAAAAAATAGATGCAATGCAGTCTTTTTAAATTTGTCCTACATTCTTACTTTCTGCTGTATTTGAAACACCTCATGACTATAAATTGAAAATTCATCTAGGTTTCCCAATAGCTTCGGTTAACTTTTAGCAAATAGTTTGGCTTCATTCTCCTAAAATATTATTAACTCTCATATAGTATTAAATTTACTGATGTGTTTTCAGGTATTAAAAATCAGTAGCCTTTTCTGTAATTACAGATTATCATTCTCCTATCTCAAAAAATGTTTTATTATTTTTTCTATACTATAGACTGAAAGGTTATCTGATAATGTTTAATTGTATTTACTTATATTCAATTTATTTAAAAATAGGTATCTAGCCTTTTAAAAAGTATTAATACTTTCTGTGCAGAAATATTTGCTTAATAATTCTAGAAAGTTTTGCTCTGTTGCATAAAATGATATTACCAAATTTGGTTTTGTTTCACAATGACTCAGGATCAACATTCAAGAGGGACCTTATTTTTTTTTCTTAGAAGCATAAAAGCAAACTTATTAGAAAGTAGGTTAAAAGATTGGTACATTTGAAATGATCTTTAAAAATTTAGGCTTAAGTCCTCAGTAATGTACATTTCCTAGTTCATTAATGCAGAAATACAGCACATAGATTTTAATCTTGGAGTTAATAATAAAAGCAATTTTCACTAAAAATATAAAAACTGTAATGGTAGAATCATGATATTGCATTTAGCTCTCCCTACAAAAAGTCACTTTATTACTTTCTTTTGACACTTATTTTCATTCTGGGATTAATTTTACTATATAAGGGCTCCTTAACTATTCTATTAAAATTTCTATTCAGAAGCAATAATATCTAAGAGTGAATAATAGTCATGTAAATCATTATTTCATATTAATGTAAAAGATTTTGTAAGTTCTTATGAATTCTGCTGACACGCACAATTGTGAAAAGGTTATCTCTCCCTTCTACAGTGATATGCGCTGGAACAAAGGAACCATTCTAAAAGCATCAGTGGAGTACATCAAGTGGCTACAAAAAGAACAACAGAGAGCTCAAGAATTAGAACACAGACAGAAGAAATTAGAGCAAGCTAACAGGCGGCTTCTACTCCGGATTCAGGTTTTTATAAGAATGTTGCTATGAACCACATAGCTTAAATATGACTTACCTGTCATCAGTTTTATTCATTGGTCTCATTTATTTTTTCTTACTAACAATTATTATCCTTCTGAAGGATAAATTTGTTGCCTTTTAGACATTTATTGGACTTAATTGGAGTGCTTCAATTAAGTTTTGATTTGAAATCTAGGATCAAGATGACAAAAAAAATACATAAGGCATGACAACAACTAATAGCAAAATGCAAAACATTGAATCAATTTTATAAACACACATAATATTATTTCAGACAAAAAATAATAAAGTAGAACATTTGTTTCTTTAGATAATATTGGACACTAAATTCTCCTTTACCCCTTTTATTTCTTTAGTAACATTGCTATGGATTTCATTGCCTCAAGGCATATTGTGCAAGTTTATATTAAGTCACTCCTCATCTGTTCATGTGACAAAAATATTAAAATATGGATTTTCATAACTATCAGGTTTTTTATGTGAGTATGCTTATGGCCAGGTAAAGCACTTACTTCGTTTCCATGAAATGGTAATATAGTGAGAAATTAATCTGGAAGAATAAATGGAAGATTTTTCACTCTCTCCAAATGACTGTATTGGAGTCTGAGTCACTATGGGACCACAGTGTACTCCTTTAAAGGACAAGGATATGGACTTTAAAAATTTTTTTCATATTTTTCTGAGTATTATTTTTTAGGTGATAAAAACATCAGATTCTATTATTTGCAAGAATATTTATAATTTGTATTACTTTTCATTTTGAATACTTGGAAATATTTGGTTTCATTTCTGATTTATTCTCTAGTGTTAAGTGCCCTTTCATAGTCATTATTTAATTATTCTTGTTTGAAATTGCAGGAACTAGAAATACAGGCTCGTGCTAATGGTCTTCCAACCCTGGTTTCACTGGACCGAGTTGATTTAGGTGCTCATGTCACCAAAGAACAGACTCATCTTGAGCAGAATTCAGTAGACTATTGCCAACAACTGACTCTGTCTCAGGGAACAAGCCCCAAACTCTGGGATCAAGCTATGGCTTTCTCTGATCCTTTGTCACACTTCACAGATTTATCATTCAGTGCTGCTTTGAAAGAGGAACAAACATTGGATGATATGCTACTGGATGACACAATATGTCATTTAGGAACAGATCCTCTGCTATCTGCCACTTCCTCTGTAGTTTCCAAAGAGAGTAGTAGAAGAAGCAGTTTTAGCTCAGATGATGGTGATGAGTTATAAAAAATAAACACAGTCTACTCATCAACTAGGAAACAATTCTATTCTGGTGCTGTGCATTTATATCTGTGTTTCATGTATTGCTTTGGCTTCATTTTTTTAAAACAATATATTATTCATGAAAAAGTGGTGGATTAAAAACAACAGTAGAATAAATTCACAGGAAGAGGAAATATGGTATTGAGGAATTACTGAAGGCTAAAACATATTATTCTTCTCTGACTATAGAACCTAAATCTACTTAAATTTTGTTTTCTGGAAAGAGGTACAACATAAGAAATAGCTATTTACTGGATGTATTATTGTAACAGACTGCAAAGGGTAAACCTCTGAAATATACAAACATTTTCTTAGTTATTCACTTCCAACTCCTTACTATTCAACTCTTAAAATGGTTTACAAGAATCTTGATCAATAGATTTGGAAGTTCATTTCCTTTCTCTACTGCCTGGTGAACATGTTGTTTAAAGTTCAACCTTCTAATAAAAATAATTATAAAGATAAATAATCTGTCAGTTCATAATTGAAAAGTGAATCCATAATAAACATTAAAAGATTTCAAAATAAATCTGGTTCCTAAAATTCATAAAAACTGGTTTCTAAAATTGTATCCTAATTTTGCTAGTCTGTTTAATTACATGCATTGTAAAAGTTTCTTTGCATATTTATGGAAATATGCCTTGTTCAGAATAACCTTTCTCAAGAATATGGATTAGAATTTTATGACTTCACACAGATATACCTCCATACACTTGCATATAATACAGGTAATATATTTTTTCTTTCACTCTTCTGATTTTCTATTTTTCATTAGAAATCACATTTTAAATTTATTTTTTTAATCAAGAAGAGATTTGGGGTAATCATTCAGCAAATGAACTATTTTTTAAAAAATCCTGCTACTATGACAGTTTGTCAGGTATCTAAAATTTATCACTATGTCCAATATTGAATGTAAAATACTTAGTTGTTGATATGGTCTTACTTCAGATTGACAAAATGTTGAGAATTACATTGCCAAGTGACAAAATAATTTGTGAAACAGAGCTCTTATTATATCCAGCTGTGAATTAAAGTTCTGTTCTCATAAGTACTTAGAGTACTCTATTGATTTTTGTTGCTAGTATTTATTAAGAATATTTATGTTTATAATGCTTTACTCAAATTTTTCTCTCTTGAACTTATTTTAGGAATGAGAATTTACTTACCAGATATATTGCTCTGTACTAGACCTTCATAAATGGTAATCTGATCAATGTGTATTTATTGAGGGATACTCAAAACTGCAGTGTCCTGTGAAAATATACAACAGATAAGCAGGATGGTATGGTCTTTCTCTTCAGGGAGTTATCAAGATCACATGAAAAAGAACAAAAATTATAAACAATATATAGAATTCAAGCCTACATGGATCAGCATAGGGTACAGATACAGACAGAGAAAATGAAAATGAATAAAGTCAGGAGAATCACAAAAATCTATGTGAAGAACAGAATTTAACTAATTTGGAAGCATAAATTGAGTGAAAGGGAGGGAAGATAGAGCAAAAATATCTGAATGATAAAAATGAAAATAAATAAGTATCTTAATGTAACATTATTAGAAATAGAACATTCATCTGGCCACCTTAAAAGATGCCTGTTAGGGAGTTCTGAAAGGTAACATTGGCAACAGGTTGTGAAAGCCCTTGAAAACTAGAATAAAAATGACATAGTGGAAATAGATTTTTTAATTAGGAAGAAATCTAAAAAATAAAATATTTCTGTAAATTATTGATGTGATTGAAATGCAATATTTCATGCATATTAACTTGTTGATAAACTTTCATAGTTTTTGGTATTACATGGAAAATACACCATCACAAAATTTGAGATAAATGATGAAAGAGGGAAAATATTACATTCTTATGGTATAATAATTATCTCTAGCTTAGCTTACAGCATTACCTCAGAGTTTAGATAATCAATTTTCATCATTTAACATGGAAAAATAATTTTTAATTTATAGGAGTAGTCATTAAAGACAGATAGATGATTTATGGCATGTAAAAGAGAGCAATGAGATATACTTTTAACTTTATGATAAAATTCTACTTTACTATCTGAGTTGATAATTTAATATTGTAAATCATAGAGAAACAATATGTTTCTCAGTCCATGGGAAACATATCATTCTGGATAGAATCCCACTTTTGCTCTCATATTATCAATAATTCTCTTTATAGTTTGAGATGAGTTATACTGATGATATCATTCCTTCATCATCATTTTCTATCCAAAATACTACTACCCAGTCCTGAAACCCAATTTTTATTATCATAGCTAATTGTAAGAACTTGACACAGGATATATTTTCAGTCTGGACCAAAGAGATCTGGAAAAAGAACGAATATTTTTTTTTTTTTTTGCTATTCTCAGATTATAATAACAATTAGGGGGTTGTAAAATGGATAATGGATTTTGAAAGGCAGAGTAAAGAGTGGCACTGTGTCACAAATAGACCCTCTCCCCAGAAAAACATAAAATTGTATATACAATCAAGAATTTGCATGCACCAAGAGGTTTTAAGGACCCCTTGAATGTGTCCTTGGATCCCAGGTGTGGAATCCCTGCATCAAGTCTGATACTTCCATATATTGCATTGTAGCTATACAATTGTAGTTGTATTCATCAAGAGTTAAGTGCATAGTTAATACTGTATATAATGATGGAAGAGGGAGCCCTTGTTATCTGAATATCATTATCCCAACACCAATAGTGATGAGGTTTCATAGGAAATTGAAAGTGTACCAAATATTAGACAATCTACTGAGGGAGTTGTTCAGTTATAAAATAGTCCCCTTTCAAACACCCCATTATATATGTATGACTCCTGCTATATATTTGTTAAATATTTATGGGTCAGTTTCTCTATGGCTACTAAATTTGTAAGCATCTGACAGTAAAAATTTGAATGATACAAATAAATAACAGAGTAAAAACATGTAAATCCAAAAGCAAAATTATTTGAGTAAATAAAAATCATGAGTGATCCTTGGCAAAATTCATTGTCTAGAATATTTTTGCAGAAATTAGACATATTAAGATGGAGAGAGTTATACTGTTTATCAAACAATTTTGTCAAGAAAAAGCACTAACTATTACTGGACTATTGACACACTATTAACCAAGCCTGTTCATTCAAATAATTAATGCATAATTGCAATGATAATAAAGACTTTGTGAAAAATAAGATTAAGTAATTTTATTTCCACTATTTTTTGGTATCTTTTCAAGGTAATGTTGCATCCAATCTAGTCTCTCTATTTATTATAAAACATTGGCCACCTTTACATGGATTTACACTAAGCAACCTTTCTATCTCCTAATGATCTTAACAAGGGTCTCCTATGATTTCAAATAGATCTTCATAATTTCTTTTTAATTATTTCTTTTTGAACTTTTCCCATAACTGAAGAATATATAAACACAACACATTTCCTCAGCATACAGATAGTGATATCAGTGACTATAACTTTGTTTATGTGGGCACAGAAGCTCTAAATAATAAATAATGAGATGAACTGTGGACATTGGTAAATAGCCTTCTTGCTCCTTCTTTTTTAACTCATATTTTCTCTCACATAGCTGTAAATAAAATATTTAATAGCTCTTAAAAATTAGGCACAATAAGGTTCTTGATTTAGTTTACTCATTTACCCTTATGTCAGAGGAAAAGTTAGATTTTACAATGTAAAACAATATATTTTTCCTATTTTGATAGATTGCATCATATTGTCATTTTCTTGTACTTCAAAATATTATGAAAATGCTTTTTGCTGTTGATATTGTGGAATTTAGATATTTAAATAAGTGGTAGAACTAATGTTTTCAATGATTTTAATGTTTTTAGAATATCTCTAGGCTATTTACTGACCTTAAAATATCTAAAATATAGATGAAAACTGGAATCAATTAATCATTTTTCTGTGTTATCAGCACAAGATCAGCTATCTGTGTTTCTTGAAAACACCTGAAGGATTAAATTTTGTTTCAGTATTGATGGTACAGCCTGGATGTGCTACATGAAATTACAACTTTTGCTCTTCCAGGGCCCTGCATGTTGACAAGTATATGTCAATCTGAGTTAGTGCAAGCTAAACATAGAGAGATTTTATTACATTTACTTAATAAACACTAAACACATTTAGAGAGTTGCTGATCCAATGCATCATATAACCTTCCTGTAATCATTATTCATTGCTTACACCAATATTTTATCATTTCTATGATTTTAATTTTTAACAAAGAAACTAAAAATTATATAGTTTTGTTCTACTTTTTTCTTCTGTGAAGTTCATAAAGAATTAATGTATGGAGGATTACTGGAAAATAGTTATTTTGATAAAAAAAAGAAAACCTCCTACTGTATTTAACCAATTTAATGATGAACTACTACTAACCACTGCTTTATACATAAAAGGGAAATATTTGTCTTCTTATAAAAGGATATGTGCCTGTATTTCTGCATATGCAAGTGATTTATATTATGTTTTCTGTTGATGGAATCCTCAGTAAAATGTCCATTCTGCATTTATGCAGCAGGCTTCAAGAATAAATTTAAAGACTTTTGTGTCTGAAATGCTACCTCTCCCATTCCTGCACTACCATTTTATTTAAAAATTTGGTATTTTCAAATTTATTTTTACTGTTTCCACTATTACAGATGTGCTCCTTTATCTGCCCTTGCCTGCCTCTATTCTGCCCCTGCCCCTCCATTTCCCTGTGGGCATGACCACACTGTTGTCTGTGTCTCTCGGTTATGCATATATGCTCTTTGGCTGATTCCTTTACCTGCTTATAGCCAGTCAGCCCCCCTCCCCTCTGACAGCTGTCATTCTGTTCCATGTATTCATGCTTCTGTTTCTTTTTCCACAGAAATAAATTTTATTTAAGGCTGGTGGTTATATAATAAAAAAATATAAAACATGCAAATAAAGGGGGAGACTATTACTTTACTGAATTATATATTAAGAAGTTACATAATACACTCTAGACTTCTGGCCAAGATGGAGGCGTAGGTAGACACACTGTGCCTCCTCACACAACCAAAATAAGGACAACAACAATTTAGAAATAAAATAACAACCAGAACTGACAGAAAATTGAACTGTATGGAAGTCCGACAACCAAGGAATTAAAATAGACACATTCATCCAGACTGGTAGTGATACAGGGTGCAGCCAAAAGGGGGGCCCCAAATAGGGATTTGGAATGGGGTCCAGAACTCAAGGTGTCCAGGAAATATTAGGATATCCTCACCCCTTCCCTCCTCAGGTGTGAGTTGGGGAAAGGGACACATGGAGCAGGAACATGTAGAGCTGTTTTGTGCAGCCACAGCTTTGCAGCTAATCCATGGCATGGTCACTTAACATATCTATAACCTTTAACTGGTTGCACAGATATGCTAAATAGCTGTGGCTATGCTCTGAGCCAGGGGGATGGAAAGAACTTCCCCCCAAGATATAACTGGGAGGCAGGTTCCCTGAGTTACAGTGTCTGCGTGAGAGCTTGGAGAAGATTGGCTCCATGACAAGGGGCCACCCCTGCCCAGACTCATGATGGCAGCCCAGTGTACTCAGAATAATACAGGAATGCTGGCAGATGTAACTGATTGTAGGAGGAGTCGGAAATGGGGATACAGAGGAAGATTGGCATGGGGATTTAAACACAGACATGGCAGCCATTGAGGAGAGAGCCTTGCTCTTCTGCCAGAGTGGGGACCCCTGCAGCTTAGTAGGGAAAACCATCATGCAGTTTTAGCAGAGAATCACCACTTGGCTTTGGCAGAGTGGTGACCCCCCCTCCCTGCAGCTTTGCCGAGAAGAACCATGCAGTTTTGGCCAGGGTGGGGACCCCTGCAGCTCCGGTAGAGAGGACCACGTGGCTGTGGCAATAGAGGAGAGATTCATGCAGTTTTGCCAGAGTGCAGACCCCCACAGCTTTAGTGGAGACAAGAACCATATGGTTTTGTCCAGAGTGGGGACCCCTGCAGCTTTGGTAGGAGAGGACCACGCATCTTTGGGGTGCTGCCTTTGGCCACATGGCCTTGGAAGCAGGAGAAATTTTGCTTGGAAGAAGGGTGAAAGAACTCTTCCCAGTAGGCCATGAGAAGGTGCCACATGGCTTTGGATTAATTAGAGATCTTGCCTGGAGGGTGACACAGCTGATGGTGCCCACAGCTAGAATCACAGACCTCTACTTCTTTTCCTGAGATACAGTACCCCAAATTAGGGCAGGGGGAGAAGGAAGCACTGTGGGAATCTGTGGGTATCCAAAAGGACTTTGATATTTTAATGAGGACATTAGGTCACTACTTTAAGTTTGTATAGCTTTAAATAAATACTTCATTTCCTTTTTACAAATCTCTGGCATTGAGAAATATCTTTCCTAAGGTTGTGGACAATCGAACTTAGTGGGAGGTTTCTTTTGGTAATAGTATATAGTAACCCCCTTGACCCTGTGTGTGGGTGTGCTCTGTAACAGTTTTTGGCGTCCCTGGGTGGGCCAACAATTACCCACCTCCCCGCCTGTGTTCTGTAACAGTAGGAGGGGCGGGTGGCTGGGCAGAGAGGGGTCGTGGCAAAAAAAAAGCAGTGGCTTGCGGACCCTGGGCTTGAAAGGCAGCAGCTGACTGACTCCGGGTGTGCAAGACCTGAGCTGGCAGACCCTGGGCATGCAGGCAGCGATTGGCAGACCACAGGCATGGGGTGGCAGCAAACACATCCAGCGAGGCAGTGATTGTGGAGTGGGGCATACACACACAAGGCAGCAGGTAGACTGACAGTCCCACAGTTGCATGCAGATAAAATAGGCAAAACTAGGGACTGAGACAGACTTCACAACCCAGGGTCCCAGTGCAGGGAAATAAATCCTCAAAACACTGATTGAAAACACCTGTGGGGGTTGAGGTGCTGGGAGAGACTCCCATCCTCACAGAAGGGTTCGTTGTAGAGACCCACAGGGTCCTAGAATGTACACAAGCCCACCTACATGGGAATCAGCACCAGAAAAGCAAAGTTTGCTGGGGGGAAGCAGCATAAGTGACTGAAATCCAACAGAGAGTGGAGGAAGTGCCACTGTTCCCTCTTGGAACCCTCCCTGAAATACTGTGTCACAACCCAGTGACTGGGTTGACCCACTATGGTGAACACCTAAGGCTCTGCTCCTCATACATAATAGGCACATCAAGACAAAAAAATGGCCCAAATGGAAGAATAGATCAAAGCACCAGAACAAATACAACTAAATGATGAAGAGATAGCTAACCTGTCAAATGCACAGTTCAAAGCACTGGTGATCAGGATGCTCACACAATTGGTTGAAGTTGGTTGCAAATTAGATGAAAAATGAAGGCTATGCTAAGTGAAATGAAGGAAAATGCACAGGGAACCAATAGTGATGGGAAGAAAACTGGGACTCAAATCAATGGAGTGGACGAGAAGGAAGAAGGAAACACCCAATCAGAAAAGAAGGATGAAATAAGAATTCAAAAAAATGAGGAGAGGCTTAGGAACCTCCAAGACATCTTTAAACATTCCAACATCTGAATTATAGGTGTACCAGAAGGGGAAGAGAAAGAGCAACAAGTGGAAAAGTTACTTGAACAAATAATAAAGGAGAACTTCCCCAATCTGGCAAAGGAAATAGACTTCCAGGAAGTCCAGGAAGCTCAGTGAGTCTCAAAGAAGTTGGACCCAGGAGGAACACACCAAGGCACATATAATTACATTAGCCAAGGTAAAAATGAAGGAGAGAATCCTAGAAGCAGCAAGAGATAAGGAGACAGTTACCTACAAAGTAGTTCCCATCAGCCTGTCAGCTGATTTCCCAAAAGAGACCTTGCAGGCAGGAAGGGGCTGGAAAGAAATATTCCAAGTCATGAAAGGCAAGACCTACATCCAAGATTGCATCCAGCAAAGCTTTCATTTAGAATGGAAGGGCAGATAAAGTGCTTCTCTGATAAAGTCAAGTTAAAGGAGTTCATCATCACCAAGCCCTTATTATATGAAATTTTAAATGGACTTATCTAAGAAAAAGAAGATTAAAAAATGTATAGTAAAATGACAGCAAACTCACAATTATTAATAGCTACACCTAAAACAAAAACAAAGACAAACTAAGCAAACAACTAGAACAGGAACAGAACCACAGAAATGGAGATCACATGGAGGGTTAGCTACAGGGGAGTGG